TTTGATGTGTTGCCAAGGTGCTTCGCTCACAACCCGCTCGTGACACACCTAAGAACTCACTGATGTTTTCAAGATCACTGGACATGTGTTGGTGACCTGCCCTCGATCTCTGCTGCTACTTACTGGTCTTCTTTTGAGCTGATTTGATTTTAAACTTTGAATACAGATTGAAGTTTTCAGCAAAGGGATGATTTCAGTTAAGAAAACAAGACACTAGTTAGTCTTGTTTAAGTTTTGAATGATGAAAAATGACCACTATAAAGTATAAAGTATAATATATAAAGTATGCCTATCGAAGACGTGTAGAGACTATTTTATAACCTAGTAAATAAAGAGTAAAAACATAAAAACAACCCAGGGTTCAAAGGTTTAGGACCTGTTTATAGGGGATATTTATGATATTATATTAATGATGAATAACCCACTGAACAGGCAGCTTGTTCAAATAGGAAACATCTAAAATTTGACACATTTAGAATAAAAACAAAGACAAAACAAGAATCTTCTCCACCTCTACTCCAACTCTTAGATTTGTATTTGTGTTCATTGGTTTGATATAGTTTTAGTCTCCACATTAAGGTGCAGCAGCCGTTTAAGGTTTGCGACATAATGAAGGAATGTTTTTGTTCTACTTTTAAACAAAAACATTCCTTCATTAGTGTCAATCCTGCATCCATATAACACACAAAGAAAACGCTGCCAAGAAGCCAAATCTATGGCTGCAGTTATCCCATCAGTTTGCATAAGATTAGTATTATCAGGAGACCTCCGTCTTAACAAAATGATGGTTGGCAATTTGTGCTAGAATTATTATTTGACAAATTACGGACGTGGTAGATTTACATGGGTTAAAAAATATACTGACAGTCTCTGCAATTACCACAAATTACTGGGTCTCCCCAGATAATAAAATTCCTGCGTGAATTTGGCTCAACACAGTTGTGGATTAACCTTTTAACCAGGCAAATTGATATTTAAAAAAAAAAAGAGTTATTTCAGTGGCTTAAGGGGGAGTAGCTGTAGGTAACACGCATAATGTTAAATGTGTGATCATGATGCTAATGTTTAGGTTGAGACGGCGTCTGTAGTCGATCACAGCTGCTGGCCAGATTGGTTTTGAGAAGCTGGGGTCCATAATGAATATATTTTGGTATAGAGATATATAATGAAGCCAATAAAACCCGTCAATCTATCCACCTTGACCTGAAACATCTAATACAAGTGATATATTTTCTTTTAGGTTTTATTCTGATAATAATAAACAACTCCACATTGACATCCCCGTCTGACATTAGGCACTTTATTTGAGCACAAAATAAGCATTATTAGGCAATCAACAGAAGAATCTTACATGTACATTCCTCAAGTGGTATCAAATTAGGTTTTTTTTTTAAAGAAAAGATACAATATCTACATTCATAGACAGTGTTTCTGAAGCTGTGTAAGACAAAAAAAATTAACGGAAATAATGTACAAAACAGTAAAAACAGCAAGTCTAGCTATGGTGAGAAAATAAATTAAGTGTGAATTTCGAGGTGGATAACTACGGTTGAGAAAATGTAGGAGGCTGAAATCGAAGCAGTTCTTGCTCTTTTTGCCTTTAAGCAAAGACTCAGAGAGTCTCAAAGTTGTAAAGCAGTAAATAAGATCTTAGTGTGCATGTCCTGTGTGGTTTTAAAACTGCGTCTGTGGCATGTGTTCCCTCTCGTTGTGAACCGAATATGAGTTATTGTATTTCTGTTTATGGGATCACAATTGCAGGCCTCTTAAGTGGGGACAATTTGCCTGTCCACACCTCTCCTAGGGGGTACATTTATGCTTTTGGTTCAAGGTTAAGAGTCCTATATAGTCGTACAAACCCAATTACGTACTCTGAAATAGAAAGTTCTGGAGGACTTGAAGGTCTGGATTGCATTTGCTCGTCTTTGGTTGCCTCATTTGCTCAAGTTTGCCAAAAAATACTCCTACAAACATTGTTTTTCATTGTGTCACGCTCGGACAGGAACGCATTACAGTCAGTGGAACAATGTCCGTAATCCGGTCCTGAGGGGTTTATATGTTGATCCGTCTCAATGCCAGCAACATGAAGTCACAGCGTGTCGTGTCTAACGTAGATGTAAAGCAGTGGTTCCCAACCTTTTCTATCATTTAGTAAACTGACTAAGTGACATATATTTTATGGATATTTCATGTGATATTAAACTACAATGAACCCAAATAGTGAACTGCAAGAAGTTTGTGTAAAACGAGTGATTTGGATGAATTGTAAGCAGATTATTTCCTGTATTTTTTATCATATTTAACAAACTTCTGCTTTCAAATTTACATTAACTTGTTCTTCACAGAAGTCAATCATATGCTGAGATAAAGGCCTACTGTGTATATTATTTAATTCATATCAAGAAGGCCTCGCGACCTTCCCGTAAAGCTTTGGCGACCCCTAGTGGAGGTCTCGAACCCACAGGTTGGGACCCACTGACGTAAACAATGAATGAATCAAAATGAATTCACTGTCTGTTACGAGTCTTCAAAGATACACACGATGCATTTTCAGTGAGAAACGGTGAATGTAAACAAACCTAACGCTACGTCTTTACAACCATCGCCAACAGTGGCTGCTCGGAGATGTTCTCTCATCCTCTAAAAGAAACTGTTGCTTTTGGAAAACCAGGTCTGTCCATCTGAAACCAGACTTGTGATGTACTTCCCTTGGAAATATATAATTATGTTCAACAAGCCACACACACTTATTTTCAAAATATAAACACAGCAGGGATCTTGGATGGGAGCTCAGGACAAGAACAGAGCTGGAGACTGTGAAACTGCCATTATTGAGGTCGATCTCAGCTGCTCGCAATCTTTCAGGTCTAAGGGGCAATACAACGGTCCCCCGTCTGGCAATTTCTAATGTTACGCTGGTTCAAAAGGCACAGTTCGTCCAAAAACCAGAGCCACACAAAAGACAAAACACACAAGACATAATTGGCATATTATGGGCATTATTCAGTACAAACAGAACTGCCAAGATCAACACTATTGAACTGGGATCGATTAGGTTGGATTGGATTCACAGCAGATGTCAGTGCACACATATTAACACACACCTTCTTACTCACATACATAAAGTGACAATCCTATAGGCTGATGTGATTTTAATTGGCTTATTAGTTGTTTTACTTTAGAGACTCACATGAATGAAAATCCAATTTGATCACCTTGGTTGAGTACGTTTTCTTCTGGGCGCCACAGCGGCTCAGTGGTGGGTTTGGACCCGACCCTGAATGGTTGGGGAAGGTTTGGTATGGTTTTGGATTTGTCTGCGTGGGTTTTCATGTGGACTGGAGACTTCAGTGACTCATTTTTGTGTTAACTCTGAACTCCGGCGTGTTGAATTTGAAATGAAACAGCGACTTTAAGCTTTAATTTGAGGCGTTACCATCCACATCAGTCGAACACCGTTGGCACCGCTGCCATTTTTATACACACACCCCAAACTATATCAACAAATATAACCTGAAATGAAGTAATTCTAATAAATACTTTGACTTATAACTAATTTCAGGGACTCCTCAGTGCAGCCAGCGTTACTCTTTCCTGCAGTTTGTTAACAAGAACTCCTACACTGTCCACCCAATATCGGCGCCCCCCTACCCGCTGTTTTATTACAAACCCCAACCAACGTGGAGCCAACACTCTCCTGATTCTTGACGATCGAGCTGGACTCTATTCCGCTTCGGTCTTTATACCTCAAAATGCAGCTTGATTTGATTCAGACGTCTCCGATTCTTGAGATAATTTGGGATGACACGGCCCCACACTGCGCAGGCAGGCTTTTGGCATTCATGTGTTTTAGCATAAACAGAGCCCCGGCACTGAAGCAGCATGTGCATGCGTGGCTTATTTATTTAATATCACACAGAAAGTGAAATGTTGTGACAGAGCCTGAGCAACGAGCAAGCTCGCTCTGCGGGGTGCCGCAAATGAAAAACATTGAAACTTCAGAAACTTAATTAATTAACCAGCGGGAGATAATGTGTTGTGTTTGCTGAAAACAAAATAATCTTTGGATTGAATCCCAACAGAACTACCGCCAGTTAGTGCGGTACTTTATGGATCCCCGGAGGTATTCCCTCCTCTCCTCCGCCCACCGGTAAACACTGGGAGCTCAAAGGTCAGGGGTCGGGCTGTGGATGCTTTCGCTGTCTCCAGCAGAGAGAATGCATCCTGGTGAGCCGTGACTTGGAAATGGAGATCATATGTCTAGAACTGTGGTTTCCCAACCCTTTTCTATCATTTATTAAGCTGATTAAGTGAGATAATTTATGGATATTTTTATATTATATTAACCCAAACAGTGAACTCTGCTGTAAAACGAGAGATTTAGATGAATTCTGAGCAGATGATTTCCTGTTTAGGGAACTTTTTTATACAACTTTCTGTCTGTATTGTTGAATTTTTTATACATTTTCAACAATCATACAAACTTAATAAGCTTCTTTTCTCACAGATCTTGTGTTTTCTTGTCCCTGATGCTTCGTCGTTGTTCTATTAGGCAATTTACATAAACTTTTCTTCACAGAAGTGAACCAAATGTGGAGATATAGGCCTACTGTGTATATTATTTAAGTTTTCTTACACACCTTAAAATCAAGAAGGCCTCATGACCCTACCACGAAGCTTTGGCAACCTCTAGTGGGGCTCTTGACCCCCAGGTTGGAAACCACAGGTCTAGAAGTCTGGATAAATCTATTTAGATCAGTAGCTCCCAAACTTATTTTTATTATATTACGCCTTGAAATAAAGGAATAAAGGAATTTCTACTTGTATCCCACACAATGTGGGATGTTGCGTGGCCAATCTACTTGTTACACACTGCGTACAAACACCAGATTTTAAAGCGTAAAGCTAACAGAGCGTGAGTAGAAATGACCTTAATTTGATTGTAGGATGTTCTTTTACTCACTACATCACCACACTGTAAATCTCCACGTACACAGAGAAAAGTTCCAAATATTTGTTTATTTTCTCAGCAACAATGTGCTACACATGTTCACAGCTACAAAACTGTCCAGTACAAACACGCCAGCACAGAGACATTCAATGCAAGAAAAGTTTTCCCAGCTGGCAAAGGGGTTTATGCTATTATAATACGAGTGTGTATGTTACATTATCATCACCGCTGGACCTGTTTCAGCTAACTGTTTGTTTTGTTTGGAGTGCAAGAAAGAAAGTTTTACCCTGGATAATAAACTGACTTAGGCTCACATTCACGGAGAGGAAGGGAGAGACAGTTTGGCATGTGTGATATGATGGACTGAGAGAGAGAGCCGAGCAGAAACGTGACCGGGTGCCACCCTGCAAAAAAAAAAAAAAAAAAAAAAGCTACTAAAACAGCAATCAAACACAAAGTGAAAATTTCTCTCCAATTTTGTGCATATACACAGGTATACGTGAGCCCCCAGTGCCAGAAAGATGAGCTTATAGGCCATAAAGTGACGTTATTTCTGTTTAATCCTGTAGATTAACCTGGATGTCACCTCATTAAACGTGTGTCAGCCTTTTTTCTCTCTCCGGGAAAACAAATTGAAGGCTCGCGTACACAAGCAAAGAAATCTGTGTGTACGTTTGCTTGACCTCGTTTTTTTAAGGAGTCGTCCATGTGAACCGAGCCCTTTGAACAAACACGTCCCGTAAAGCACACACACACACACACACTCTCCCTACACGCCTCCGACTGATCATTGACAACTACCAGATGGCACAGGGAGGCTAGACAGTGTGGATAAATGAGTGCGTGTCGGAGTGTGTTTGCGTCTCTACACTGGATGTGACACTGGATGATGTGTGTGTCTGTGGAGCACAGACTGGCCTGGATGCAGTGTTAAGGAGTGTGTGTGTGTGTGTGTGTATCTCCTTAATGTGCATACATGTGCGTGCCAGAGGGGGAAAGAAAAAGAAAAAGCGTGTAGGGGTTGAGTCTGTGCTAGTCGGCGCATGGTTTATGTCTGCAAATATCCCCTCCTTCCAAATCTTTCTTTATGTGCGTCTGTGTCTTGTTACTAAATCTGTTCTCTGTGTTCCTAAAACTCACCTGTACTGTGTTCGCCTGATGAACTGTTGTGTTAAAGGTACTACGTGTTCATCGTATGGGTGTGTTTACAGTTGACATACAGTATCAGGATTGCGCAAATGTTGTGCATGTGTGTTTTTGTGAGTGTTTCTTGTTCACTGGCAGCCATATTGGAGGTTATTCATCTCTTGCTCAACAGAGACGCCCGTGGTTCTCAAAGTAGAACTTGACCACGGCGGTTTCAGCGCTCATACACCAAATTCATTTAGTTTTATTGTTACAAACTAACCTTTATCTTGTCAGCTATTTTCTATAATGTTAAAACACATCTGATTAAGTTGCTGGTGGTTGGATATTAAAGGAATAGTTCCACATTTTGGGAGTAGTTTGATACCACTCTCATAACTGTACGTGAAGCTACAACCAAGTTAATTATCCAGATGTTATTTTGGTATTTTTGTCTCCAGTGGACGTTTAACATCGGTGCCGACTTTCATTTTTTTGGTTAGTGATGAAACTCCAGAGCAACTGGTTTTTGCAGGACAAAATATGTGTCGGTACATTTGGTGCAACAGTGAAAACAAAGTGTTTAAACAACATTTAAGTGAATATATTTCAGTGTTGAACATCGCTTTGTCGTTTTATGTAACCTAGACCTTTGTCTGTTGATCTGGAAATAACCTAAGTTGCACGTGTGTCCGTCGTCTTGTTCCCGTACTGTGTTTGTTGTTGTTTTCTGGTTGGTCGTTGCAGCTGATCCTTAAACTAAAAACTGAATGCAGCTCCACAGGGTAGACAAGAAAGACGAGATAAATCAAATTCTTTACATGAAAAAGAAGAAGAGGGAGGAGAAAGATCGTGACGGAAAGTGAAAGAGAGAGACGAGCGAGTTCAACGCTGCAGACTGGTCGGGCTGCATACCACCCTCAGCCTCTTTCTCTCTCTTCCTTTTATCTTCTTCTGCTGGGTTCGTTTTCTTCGGCATTTACGAGATTTCTCCCTCCTCCTCGTTTCCATTCCTCTTTCCTTGTAGACTCCTTTGTTCAAAAGGCACTCTTTTTGTGTTGCTTCTCACAGTCTTATTGCTGTATCCAGTACAAAGAAGCAATCCTTGCATAAAATCCACGGTTTTAGTGTAAGATAGTCGATAGTCTTTAGCAAAAAAATCCAAGTGGTTTAAAGTCCAGTCAAGGTAAAATACATATTAATTACTTTTCAAATCACCACAGTTCATTGTCTAAATCTCATTCTCAACCATTCATATGTACAGAACTCTCATGGCACGCTTTTAAAAAAAGTTATATTCCATATTTTTTATTTATTTTTTTGCTTTGGTTTGATCATTTTATTCCGCTACCATTTCACTGTCCGTCCTCACATCTTCGATGCAGAGGTTTTGAGTTTTTTTTATTGTGTGTACATTCTTCGGTCTGGTATCCAAATCCAAGGGTCCGATTGCTTCCCACAAAAAAAAAAAAAAGGCTGTTGACGAGCGAGACACGCTGAGATTCATGTGTTAATTTGGGATACGGGCAGCGGGGAGGCCTAATTTATTGGGCGATTCTCATCTAACAGGAATACCTCAAAGTTTCTGTAATGTTTTTCTCTGGTTTACTTCTCTTTTTGACATCCAAAAGGCAATTTCCTTCCCCGGGAATCAACAGGAAAATCGATATCCTCACATTTATTTTCGCGTGATTGCACATGTATCTTTTGTATATCTTGCTCTTGACGGTTAGGTTTCGCTTAATGGAGAGTAAGGAAGACAAATCCACTCTTTTTTTTCTTTTCCCTTTCACCCCTTCCTCCCCTTCCTCTTGCAGCGTTAACTCAAGCGAAGCCTTCAAACCCCAGTCCTTCACTCCTTCAATATATCCGTCCAAGCAAACATTGAGGGTCCAGGATCCAAGGCCAAAATCCCACCGCTCTGTCTTAATGACCCTTTTTTCCAATCAACGGATACTCAAAAGTCTCCAAGCCCACCCATGTATCCTATCCATCATCCCATCTGTTCCTCTTTTTTTTTAAACTTCCTCCCATCGCTTCCCCTCAGAGGTCCAGGCGGAAGGCGCCGAAGTAGCTGGAGGAATCATCCGCGTTGACCATGGTTGGAGAAGAGACTGAGACGAAGAGCTCGTCGCCGGCCCTCAGCTCGAACAGCCCTCCCTGGTAGACGGAGTGGAGGGCGTACTCGGCGTCCGGGGCCCAGCACTTTGTTCCCACCCCCTTCAGGAGCTGCACAGAAATGGAAAATCAAGGTAAGAAAGTGTGTTTCAATCAACACGACAAAGTTATTCCACATGAGAAGGGGTAATGTACCTGTATGGGGCTTGGGTAGGAGGTTTTCTTGTAGACGCACTGCACCAGCTGGTGGCTGACGCTGCGCTGGTCTCCGTCACCGGCGGCTGGGGACGGATAACGGAAATACACCTGGAGGCAGCAGAGAGCCGAGCAGGGACAGAATAAAGCAAATTATTAGGATTGTTCCGCTCATATTATAAAGACACTGAGAGGCACTTTGGATCAAACCTTAAATTATTGTCTGATTTATTTAGTTTATTTAAAGAAAAAGGTCTGTTATCGTCTTATAAACTGAACTCCTTTGAGTTTATAACTGTTTTACAATCTACAGACTAACAACTGACACAAATGTACTGACTTGGATGTACTGAGGATTATTTGCAGCTTCCACTTATTATTAGCGCATTAATCTGTGTACATGGTGTTGTTGGGCTAAAATAAATACAGTTAAAATGTATTTGAGCAGTATTTTTATTCTAGTTCTTGTTTTAGTAGTTGGTTTTAATCAAACTACAAAAAAAACTAAAATAATAAATTCTATAATAAACAAAATCCTTTTCTCTTGGTTTTAATGTCTAAAGATGTAGCAATAAGTTTTAATCCCTGATAGTACAGTAAGCTCACCTGTGAGTACAGGTAGTACCGCCCATCCTGAGGCACTCGCAGCTTCCCATTGGTCAGGGTCATGTTGTGCAGGTGAGCTCCGAAGCTCTGATTGGCCCATGAGCGGACCACATGGCGACAAGACTGATGGAGGCCCGCCGTGGGGATCGGGTAGGAAGGGAACCCTGTTGAAGAAGAAGGATTAGGGTTAACGATTATAAAGGAAATGAGGGTTGAAGCAAAATATGTAGAAGGAAAGCAGGCAGTGACACGCCCCGAGGAGTCCACATCCTTTATTTTCTACTTTATTTAGGACCCAATGGAGGATACAGAGCAGTTACAGGCGTCCTAACTAACAGCCAATCAGTATTTTCTGTGTCTTCAAGGCAAACCTTAGAAATACACAACTGGTTCTGAGCCAGGCAGGGATTCAGCCAGCGGCCAGCAGCTCTCGAGCTTTCCTTCCACATTCGACAAGCACCTTTTCCTGTGCGTCATTTCCCGTCTCGCTACTTTATGTGCGTGTTTGCATACTGTGTTAGGTAGCTCACTCTCAGTCATATGTGGGATTTAAAGGTGTGTTACGTGTGTGTAATGCTTTACACGATAATGGTTTATTAGAAAACAATATCAAAGGAAGCAAGAGATGTTGTACTTCCTTATGAGAAATCAAGGCTGAATGTGTGAACCACACACACACACACACACACACACACACACACACACACACACACACACACACACACACACACACACACACACACACACACACACACACACACGCATATACGACACCATCTTCGCCCTTTGTCAACTCAATGGAAAAAACATCAGGCAGTCTTTGCCAGATTGTCAACACCCTTCAGTTTGCACGCCAGTCTCAGATGAAACAATATGATGGTCTGGATAACACACACACACACACACACAGATATGTACACACATACACACACTTTAAATTCCACATTTAATGACACACACACTCTCCATCCTAATAATATCTGTTTTACTGTATTCATTGACTGATTCATACAGAAGACAATTAATGAATGTTTTTCTTGGAGGGAAAAAGCTCTCTGGCAGAAAGGAAGTGAGATTTTTTTGAAGAACAATTCAAACACAAGGAAACACATTAAGGTGGAATGTGTGTGCAACATTAATGGATAAAACAATCCTCCTTAATACAGCAGGTTCAAGTCCTAAGGTTGCTCCTCAGCGTGCCCTTATATAGACAATTAATGGATTTACCAGATTAATTTAAGGTATATTTAAGCAGCTGATTCCCTAAATTTACGCCATTTAAAAGAAAATATATATATCTTAAGATTATTTTAAGGTATTTTTTTGTCCTTAAAATGGCCAGCTGCTTCTACTATCCTCACTAAAATGTATGATTTCATGCATCACTCTTTGAGTCTAGTTCTAGGAATTTCTTTACAAGAGTTTGGCCCATAAGTCGAGTCAGTTCTTCTCCGCCTTCATCCACAAATCAGCTGTTGGTGTCTTAATGTTGTTCTTTCCCAGACGTCAGTTAAACAGACATACGTAGGCAAGGTACGTTTAGTTTCTTTCTTTTATCACTTAACACGCACAAACGGTGTCCTGCAGGGGTCATAAACACAAAGATACACACACTGACACTGACAACTTTTATGGTTTTCATAAATCTTCCTCTTCACTCTTCCTAAACACCCTTGACCCACAGTAACAGTCACAGACACCCAGATGACCTCACCTTGAGAGCTGGTATCTCTGAGGGTCAAGTGGGCAGATGGCCTCTGGGCCACCGAGGTCATGAACTTCGACCCCGAGTTGTTGAAAGCGCGAGGCATCGTTCTCGCCTCTGAAGGAGAGAGGAAACGTAAAAAAAAAGAGGTCAGAAACGAGGTTGTTGCATTGTGGTCTGTGTGTGTGTGTGTGTGTGTGTGAGAGATACTCACCTATGAAGGTTTGTTTGGAGATGATGTTATCTGTCACCTGAAAGAAAGTGAGAATGACCATCAATAAGGGTGATATTTGACCTTTAAGTACAAAACAACTATGATAAATATCAACTAGAGATTTGTTTTTCAAGTGTTTATTTAACTTTTATGAGTGTGAAGTTAAATATTAACTCGCAGTTCTTCGCTGCGATGGTTAAACAGCCATTATGAGTGCCGGCGTGCCGTGATAAACACGGTTGTAATTTATTTTATAGTTAACTCAAGACGGTTTTATTCACACAGCCCTGAATCATAAACTAAACATGGTTGGGCTGTTACAGTCTTTTTACAGCAACCCTCCTCAGGCAACCTTAGACCTTTGATTTGGATCAGGAGAAAACTTCACATTAAATCCCCTTAACGGGAAGAAGAGGAGGAACTTCAGGAGGATCAAAAGAAGGATGGACAGACACGAAGACATAAGTAAAATTACAATAATAAAGAGCAAGAAACTGCTTTTTTTTGGTGCTGTGAGCAGCTCCTCCCTTGCATTGAAACACCACTCAGTTTCTTTAGTGTAAATGGTGGCATTTTAAAGTCTCCTGTGTGTGTTTTCTTCTACTTTTCGGGCCGACTTTTGTCATTTTATTTAGCTAATTTAATGGTCTGCCTCTGTTGAACGAGAGCTGCTGCTCAGTGACAGGCAAACAGCTGTAGAGAAAGAATAGTTTCACATTTAAGTCGGTGAATTTGGGGCTTATTTCTACCAGTTTGACGACAGGGAATACAGTACTGAGGTAATTTAGGAGACCAAGACACTGTGGGGACGGGCCAGGAGGGGCGTTACGAGGGAGGTCGGGCATCAGAGAGGAAGCGACAGCGTGTAGAGCCAGAATATTTTCACATCTTAGACTAACCAAGGCAATTTTGTTGAGTTTTAATGTGCTCTACGATTACTTAACAAGCAGATTAAGCTGATGTTAGTTGGGTAAAAGAGAGAAACCTGAATTTAATAGGTGTATTTTTCTGTTTAGTCAGGAAAAAAGGTGTTATGTAGTGAGTTTATTTTGTTTATTAAAGCTAAAAGAGCAGCTGAAACTGCTGGTCGCCGGTTGTTGGGCTGATGGCGGCTTATTTTAACCACATATCTCACACTCACAAGGTTAAAATTAAGTTTAAGTTTGGTCTAAAGTTGGAAGACACGTCTTCCTTCTCCTCTCCTGCCTCCTTCCATCACCACAGTAATAAAGTATAAACGTTCCCTCTTTCCTCTCCTCTCCCCTCTCCGTCCTGTCTCTGTTTTACTTCTCCTGCTCCTCTATGTCATCCCTCGCCCCCCCAACGAGCGGCCTCCGTTTCATCTTCCCCAGATGTAGACGCAGCACGGCCGTGGAAATATATATATGTGTACACACACTCGCACACAGATGCATTTTCTTCTCACTCTCTCTCACACTCTCACACACATGCTAATGGTTTCTGTACCGACTGTCACGCCTCGTCTTTGTCTTTCCCACTTTGTAAATCAAGCTTCAGGCGCCATTTTTCATGTAGTTTCTGATATATTTGTCTCTTTTCTAACATCCTCTCTTATCTCATCCTTCCACCTCTGTCTTATTCCCTCCTTTTCTGACATTTTTCCACATCATGTCTCCTCCTCCTTTCTATTTTCTACTCCTCTCTACGTCTCTTCACTCTTTAACCAAAAGGTCACATGTTAAATCACCTGTTGCTAGTCATGTGGCTTGTCTCAAGTGCCCCGAAGCAAGGCACCGAGCCCCCTGCGGAATAAATCTCCCTGATTAATTTGCTGAAATGCCACAAAATCTCGAATATGATTAATTTCACCGCTGTTTTTAATGGGCATCCAGCTCCAACCGTGGTGTTTTTCTTGGCAGCGGGCCTGGTTTCTCCTGCACCCGACACTAAACCCAACCTGCAAATTGGACGTGATCGCTCTGGGGTTTGGCGTGTGTGTGTGTGTGTAAGTGTGTGTGTCTGTGCGCATACCCCCCACTTGTGTATACCCTATATACTCTAAGGGGAACCCAATACAGTGAAGTACAGAGCTTTGACCCCGGGCCGCGCTAGCTCGTCTCGCTAGGCGTAGCGTGCCTGTCTCGGCCTCACGTTCCTCAAGTCCTGAAAGCAGAAAATTACTCGCACGCACACCCACACTTTAAAGAAAGAGAGAAAATTGCCAACAGATTTTCTGCGACAAGAAAAGTATAAAAAAAAGACAAAAACAAGAAATGTGGGGGTATTTTTCTGACGCATGGCCCCCACTGCGAGCTTTCAGTCCTCCGTCAGGGCGACTCCAGAACGGCATGTTTTTAATATACGAGTTCAACACTTCTGCTGTCTTTAACGCTTAAAAGCTCACATGGGAAACTACTGGATGGCTGAAGAGTGAAATCAGCTGTAGAGGCTGCATGCATAATTTATGCTCGCAGCGGTGGACGTTTTCTTAGTCAGCTGCGTGTTTTAAAGGTGAAAACGCCACTGTCACGTAGAGTTATAGTTCCTTATAGTGTTTTCTTACTCACAGGAGTGTTCTCGCATCTGGCTTGTATTTAGAGCACGTTGTACGAGGTTAGATATTAATGCAGTTAGGGTGAAAGTGTCCAACTTGCTTCGAATTAATCGCAAAAGACATTCAATTAAAAGGCATAAATGTGGCAATTTAGGTTTATTTTTGAGAAATTATTTCCTAAAAAGGTTAATTGGCGACTCTAAATTCCCCGTAGGCGTGTGAATGGTTGTCTGTCCTGTGATTGACTGGTGATTTGTCCAGGCTGTCCCCCCCCCCATGGGTAAAGCTAATGGATGGACACTTTTCCATCAGGTATGATCGGATCACAACTACACAGAAACAGTCCACTCTTTGTTCTACAGGTGGTTTCAGTTTGATATCAAAGGAACCTGCTGGGACTTTTTAACTTCTTGCCTTGTTTCGGGGGTCTTGAAGTCATTATTCTGCCCTTTTTAAACGAAAGGTCAATTACGGCTAACATCTTGGGATAATCTCATGTAATAAGGGTTTTTAACTAGTTTGCTAATTACAGCAGCATGCATTGAATAAAACCAATGTCAACACCATAAGCTTCCAGATATCTAATTCCTTTTAAACAGAATGGGTTATTTGTACCCTTATAGCTCCATAAAAAGGTTACACTGAATGTGTTTCTGGTCCATGGGAACAAGAGGCGTTCATCCCGAACAATAACTTCTGGCAGCAATTACTCAACGTGTCATTAGTTCCTACTATAATCTGCAGTAAGATGAAACTCGTCGTTAGCCATGTTCATCATTTTGCGGCCTCGCCTTTCTCAATTCCAATAACTACACTGCTATGTTTGTTGGATTTTTTTATTACTCAGGTCATTATTGTTTCATTCTTGGCCGCAGTGAGCCAATATGCAGGAGTTGGCTACAACAAAGGAAGCGGGAGTTTTTAGGAAATCCATCATTTTCCAGTCTTGCCTGGGCCAAAATTGGCTCCCCGGGCAGTTGGGACGCATATGTTCTGTCAAGTGAGTCAGATATCTCACTCCAAAAAAGTTACGTAACAACTCGCATCGTCGGTATATGCGTGTGTGCGATTAGAAGTGAATTCCTCTCCGATGCTAGAGCTCTGAAATCATCCTCCTGCTTCTAGTTCAAGCTACCCCCCTCTGTTATTACATTCGCCTCTTGTTTAAAGGGTTTTACTTAGTCTGAGGGGTTATTTCTGAGGTATTTTTCAGAGAGAGAGAGAGCCTATGGGGCACAAAGATGGCCTGTAATAACATAACTTAGGTGCCCCTGCAGCTTTATTTTCCCATGATGTGCTTCATTATTCGTAGACATGGATGATTTGAGGTGCAGATGCTGTTTGGGAAAGGTCTAGCACGATGACACCAAGCATGATCTTGCAGGAAAGTGTCATTGCAACCTTAACCTGAACTTTATAACCCTAACCCTAACCGTTAAACAACAACCAGAACTTTACCACTCAGTTAAAATGCTTTATTTTAAAGCAATAAATATTGTGCATCTGACCTTATAAGAAGGTTAATCACAGCCTCCTTGGCCCCATGTGGAGCAAAAGGCTTCTGGGCCTGCTTTCTGCCACCAGGAAGTAAGACATGTTTATGTGTTTGTGGGCTTTGCCCCTAACGAGGGTTTCAGCTGTTCACATTGTGGTTTACTGGGAAAAGACTGCGCTTCTGCTGCTCTTGTTTCCAGTAAATCAGTTTCTAGCCTCTGATGTGACAAGCCTCAAAGCTGAAGTTCACTGCCAGCGTGACCTTATGTGTGTGCATGTGTGCGTGTGCGTGTGTGCGTGTGTGTGTGCTCAACCGACACCATGGCATTGTCAGTATCTGTGTGTGTGTGTGTGTGTGTGTGTGTGTGTGTGTGTGTGTGTGTGTTGGGCTCTAAAAACCTTTCCAGCTGCAACAACAACAACAGCAAATAAAGCTCTGAACTGTCCTCTTTCACCCCGTTTGAAACAACAGAAGGAGACAAAAATAGTCTGATTTCTTCACGTCATTCTTTGTCTGGCCAAAAGCTAAAAAAAGAACGCATTAATAAGACACATGGAGGGAGAACATGAAAGGTTACTGTACAGGGGGATGAGTAAATCCTTTAAAAATGTCTTTTTGGCAGGTCTCTCCTATCCACTACATGCGGTTGTGGCCACAATCCAACATACTGATGTTACAGCAGGTGTTTTACCTTTTATAAACTCCACAAATGTAGTATTACACTTCATAATGTCAGGAGACTTGAGACTCCCAACATTAGACTCATTTATAAAAGACTTAAAACCTATAACATACTTTCCCACCCAATTTCACTTAAAACTCCAAAAGTTAACCTCATGGTGGCGCTACAGAAAAGGAAATCAGCCAAAGTCAGTCGGCTACACCTTCTGGGGACCATGAATATCAAAGATTTTTGAGATATTTTGTTTCAGATCAGACTGGGGGACAGTTTGACCGACAGTACCGTCCCTTAGAGCACGCAGGTCAAACTTTAAAATATCAAACAAAACTGTAGAAGTTGCACTGT